AAATCGCGGTTTTGAGCGGTTTTTCGAAAAACATTTTTCCGTGGGTATTAAAGTTGTTGCGCATCATTTTCATTTGAAAAAGATGGTGTTCAGAACATTGTAGTCCTTCTGTCGTTTAAGTTAGTTTTCTACCATTTTGGTCCAATGTTTAGTTTATCTTGCGAAATATCAAATTAACCTCAGTGTTTTGATTACTTTTACATCAGCTTCACTAAACGATTTTCATGTAAAGCTCATCATTGAGTTCAATTTTATCTTTGATTCGTGAGTTGCTTTAAAATTGTTTTATTTTTTTTGTCAATTTGAATCACACATTGGATGTTTTGCCTGTTTTTACTATTAACTGATAGTGCTTGACGAGCCTATTCCATGCTACTAACTGCATCAAAATACTTGTATGTGCAACCCTATGAGAGATCACCCAGGCAGATACAAAAACAACCAAAACGGCATTTCCATATCTCAATATGTAGATTGTGAAAATGTTTGATTATTCGTCCAAAATGCGTTAAAAATAGTTTAAGATTAATAATGTTTCTACACGGATTTTTTTGCGTTTAAATATGGAATGGAAGATGAAAGTACGTAAGCTGAATCATACAATATCACTATCTTGTCATTCTTTTTCACTATCAGAAACAAAGGAACAGATACATAATTAGGGCTATGTCCATTTATTCTTACTGTAATTATAAACATTTACAATGCCAAGAAGCGAATTGGGATGAATAGATTTTGAGTACAATGATTAACTTAGGGAAACATCAAAGAAAATGGTTAATCACACACGACTCATCTAGACAGCTTGTAACACATAGAAAATTATAATCTGAACTGCAACGGTTGATAAATATTGTATTTGATCTTCAGCAATAAATTTACTCTTATTTGGATTAGTTTCAGAGCATCCAAATTTAAAGACCAGATCTATGTAAGGTGTGAATGTTTGGGTCAATGTGGCTATTGATTCCAACCACATCCATATTTACACTCAGAGTGACTTAGAGTAACTTGAAATACATCCATCAAGAGAATACTTTATAGTTTTTATCAAAGAGTTTTTACAGTTTTTAACAAGTTCTTGAAAATTTTCAGCACTACCACTAAAACCTAAGTTTTTCATAGTCACCGTCGCTCACAAAGAAAAAAAATTAGAAAAAATCTCGCCATTGATTGATGTATTGGCCTACACTTATAGTTCTATGCACCAGGAGAATTCATTGCTTATGTTCGAATAATTAATTATTTTTTCTTTTTTTTTTTGAATTCTTTCCTAGAAAGTCTGAAATCAAAACGATTGGTTTTAACAAACATATATTGATATCATCACTGGCATTATACAATCAATTCAACATATTTTAATATGAGTAAACCGAGACATAATCTCGAAAAATTTTCTTGTACAACATCACGCTTTCTTTTGCTAACATTTCGTCGTCCATGTTATCGTCAAATAATTACAACAAATACTATATGTGATCCAGAAAAAGAAGTTTTTTCAAAATGGTCTGACGAAGATGGAGGATGCTATAATATGATTAACGCAGCTCTTCTTAATGATGACTATCAAGTATTGAAAAATCATGTACAATTTATCAATAGTTTAAGAATGGCAATTAAAAATAATAATGAAAATGAATCTTTTAAAGTTTATCGTGGATTACCTCTTGATCCTGAGCATGTAAAAAAAGAATATAAAGTAGGTTTACAATTTTTATAGCCAACATTTACATCTACATCAAGAAATAAAGATGTAGCACATCATTTTGGTGATTATACATTTGAGATCGATGCATCAAAAAGTGATTGAACATATCACAGTAATATTTCAAGATATTCTATCTATCCAGAAGAAGTTTTATTCTATCTATATAGTGACTATGTTGTTCAAAATATTATACATGATGCAAAAATAATTCAATTAAAATGTATTGATACACTAGAAGGTGAATCGAGCTCTGATAGACTCATTCCATCTTGTGTTAAAATTTTTGATTCATCAAGAAATATGTTCGTTTATTTCTATAAAGATAGTCCTGATCTCCATTGATCAAGTACTGAAAAACCAAGTGAAATCTTTTTAATTGCACAAAATATGAATGGCTATTGGGATGCTCCTTATCGTTATCATCATCGTAATGGTTATTTTGTAGATAAGGGAAACAATCAATGGGAAGAATATCAAGACAATAAGGTTCACGCAAAATTTAAAAGAGTTTATGATGATAATAACAATAAGAATCATGATGGCTGTGATGATTAAAACACAAACGACTCGACAAGTGATACAACAAAAGGACAGAAATGTATGAAATGGGAAATCGACTTTTCGATACTTTTTTGACAAATTTCTAACTATATATTTTATATAAAATAAAAAAAACCACACATCTAGTGTAGCAAACGTTCTTAAGGGTGCAACAAACCCAAGTGCTTTGGATATTTGGTACAAAAAGGTTTGAGTTTGGTAAGAAGAACCTCAACTGAAATATCGTAAGCAACAAAATATTACATGCTATGATTAAAATTTGAAAAAAAATTTTTCGATCATTCTATATAATATAAGGGTATAGGTGTAGAATAGACAAACACTTGAATTTCACACGCAAGGAGAAGCAAAATTTGTCCACATTGATTATGTTTTCTAATCTTATGTATCCATCTGCAGTTGGCAAGTGTGGATTTGATGATGAACTATTTTTTCGAAAAGAAAACACTTATCTATCTTGTTTACTAAATCTCAACATTGATGAATCGTTTGTTTGTTCAGAAAGTTTTCATCAGTATTTTCCTTAGTTGTTAATATTACTTTTGTGAAAACTTCTTACAATAAATAGAAATACCAATTTTCGAAAATCAAATATCTTCGTCTGGAAATAAATAGTCGTAGTCTGCATTTTAAATGTATCATTACTTTAAAAAAAAAACATTTATTTTAAAGAAATTAGTACGTATTGTAAAAGCACTTGGAGTTTTCTACCACTCTGGGTATTTATGTTTTTGTTTGTACTTATGCAATACTAAAACAAAGTGAGTACAATGAAGGGGTGGGTGTGAGTGTGCGTGTAGGCGTCATTTTCAACCACACCCACATCCTTAGCAAAAAGTTTGCTTTCATATAAATGAAACTATTTTATTTTTCAATTCATAATCGAAGTTTGTATCAATGATTTTCACATATGTCTCATGAAATCTCAAGGAAATACATCTATGAATGTATGACCTCAATACATCTCCTTCGATTTTCCAACTTAGATTTTTTTTTCTGATTAGCAATTGAATAAATGTACTAGATAAAACAAAAAGAAACAGTGTATCCAAAACATAATTATGCTCAGCATTCAATCACAATGATGTTGATATTTTTTTTTGCGGTTTATTACCAGAATAGTGTTATTTTCAAATTTCGCAAAAAACTTCGAAAATTTTCAGAACTTTCTTATCCCTACTCCAATAAAATAAGTTTCTTCTGGAGTAACAATGCATTGAATGTAATAGAGGACTCTTAAATTCATTAATTTTTGAACGAATTTCAAATTTCACTTAGTATTTTTATAGCAAAATGTTAAACTTTGCGTACTTTTAAAATCTGACAAAATATCTTTCTAAATCTTCAAAATAGTTTTGGTTTTCTAAAAAATGAAACTTTTTTACATTAAAAGTTATGAAAATAATAAATTACTTTTTCAACAAGAGATTCTTTCGATAGTTTAGATTGTTCATCAAGACCATGAGTACCTGTTATAATATAAGCAAGTGATTCTATTTAATAAAAAAAAAGACAACATAATTCAATCACAACATTGCAATTTGAAATTGTTCACTAACATCTTTTCGTACTTCAGCTAAACAAAAAACGAACATAAAATAAAATGAAAACAACAAGAAGTTTTTCAAACCAATTTTGGGTGTGGGTGTAAGTGTGCATGTGGTTAAAAACGAGATCTACGCCCGCACCCACACCCACACCCTCATATAACGCGGTTTTTGCAGAAAAACCTTGGTACTGGATATTAAACATATTTATCAATCCAATTAGACAAGTCGATACCGAAGCAAAAAAAAACAGAAATACGGCACGACTTACTAAAATCACTACGCTAGCCCCCAAAACACGATTACACCATCTATCCATTCGTTTGCCTGAGCATCAAACATACATCAATGGATGTAGAATTTCATGAACTATCGAATGAGGTAGTCATTCTCTCTCGACAAACGATCTATAGTGCTCAAAAGAGACAAAAACATGGCAAAATCCTTCAAAAATATGTCATCTGATTTTCAAGCTCCCTTCCAACTCCTATGTTTATGTTTGCCAAGCCATCAAATGTATGTCAATTGATGTAGAATTTCATAGGCTATTGAATAAACATTTTCTTTTCTCTCGATAAACGATTAGGAGTACTCCAAACATGTAAAAACTAGCCAATATTTATCATAGACATCTAATGTAAATTTCTAGTTTCCTTCTAGCTCTAATGACTTTGTTTGCCAATACATCAAAGTAAATCAGTCGATGCAGAGTGTCAAAGGGCTATCAAATCAACATCTTGTGCTTCCTCAGTGAGCAGAGCTGGGCAAGTACGGACTTTTTCGAGTACGAGTACGAGTACGAGTACCAACCCCTCGAGTACGAGTACGAGTACGAGTACGAGTACCGACCCCTCGAGTACGCGTACGAGTACTGCGAAAATCGTGCTTGAGAACAAGAAATTTTGATACATTAAGAAAGTATGCAACTGTTTAGCAACATAATCGTTGAAAAGAATTGTGTGTAATTTTACATTAAATCAAACGCGTAAGAAATCAGCTATTCTGTTCATCTTCAAAATTCAGAAGAATAAGAATACCCTGCTCTTCGGCTATCTTAGGTTATAGGGTGTCCGCAGGTAACAGTTCCGTAAGCCCGATATATTTCCTACAACCACTTAGTAATAACTGCAGCTCTCGGGAAAAGGCCGACTTGACTCGGGTTTCTTTCAATCATTCACTTGAATTTTTCGCACAGACTGCCTAGCTAGATGTTAACCGCAATGATCGGTGTATGTCACAAGGTAGTTAGTATAGTATTGTGCGCTTGACTCGAGACAAGAAGCGGTGAAGAAGCACAGAAATAGGCACCTGGTACTTATCTGATATAATACTATTTATCTGAATATACGAAAGCGGATGAGAGCGTTTTTTGTCTTCTTAATGTTTAATTTTTTGTGTTGAAAGCAATAAAGTTGTGACAATCGATAATATCGCAGATATCTATTTCAGAACATCTCGTAATCAGTTTTTCGAGTAGAGAATTGCAAAGTGATTCCGGTACCTGTCCAGACGGGACCTAAAGCTTTTTAAGCTGCTTCCGGTGTATTTTTTATGAAGAACTAGACTATAGATTTTCATGCTTCTTGTTTGATGGCGACTAAGAATGCGTAGATTTGCCATTTTTATTTATCATTCCGATACGAGTCTCTCATTGATCTTGATTCTGATTTCAACACCTGAGATTTTTCGATGATATGTATAGGTTTTTAAATAGGCGTACTCGTACAATATATACATATTTGGGCTGATAGAAATTCAACCATTCTTCTGATTGTACATTTTTTGTCCTTCTTTCACTGTTTCTAGTATAAACTCTTAAGTGTTGTTGGGATACTTCTCTATATTTCGAAATGGAACTTTATCACTATTTGGGAATACGAGCAAAAATGTAAAAGTTTAGGCTTAATTTTGCTAGAAATCTTTTGTTCTTAAAAAAATTATCGGGATCAGAAGCAATAGAAAACTTTAACCAGACCTAGGGCCGGAACCAATAAAAAATGTTGACCGGATCTAGGATCAAGACCTGGACAAGAAAAAATCTAACCAAGACCGAAACCGGAACCATCAAAACAAATTTAACTGGTAGCGAGATCAAAGAAAAGCGATTTTTCAGGGGTCTATTTTCGAGACGAAATCGTACTCTCCAAAGAGATGATCG